GAAAGGCAACTAATTTCTGAATCTGACAGTGGTATAAAAGCAAGAGTTTTAAATCTGTTTCAGGTTTTAGATGACCAAAACATACTGAAAATAAAAACTGAATAATAAGCAAGAGGTCACCACATCAATAGGATGTTGACCTCTAATGGGAGAAAATGGAGTTCTGGGTGGGCCCAAGTAATCATTGTGCAAATTAACCAGTAGACCTCAGGCTGCAGCATATTTCTGTGGCTCCCATCCACCTGGGGATAAAATGTGGTCCCTTTCCCTTCCTCACAGTCAATCTGATTGCTCCTCCCACAGTCCACCAGTCCAGGGCATTTACTTACTCTGACTTGAGCTATATCATAGCAGAGGTATCATTTTATATCTAAGTCCTATAAAATCTTTCAATAACATTAGAGCTCCCACATAGAACAGAAAAGACAGTGTGGATTTGTGGGAAGTGTTGGAGGAAAAGTAAAGGAAAATAATATGAGAATTTATTATAAGAGTATGTATTAGTTTGGTTTATAGGGAAAGGTAATACAGCTTAAGAAGCAGGGTGTTCTACTTACATAATCATCTTCCAAGACTCAGGGGTGGGACCCTGGCAATGTGTTTATTTAGTCATATGTTTTTGTAAGATATGCAAAAGCAAAGTAAAAATTTTTCCATTATTAGACAGTGAATTTGGAAAGGTGTTTTGAACATTTCAGTTAAAACAGATGAAAAATTACTGACTCCTGACTCCTGAATTGGAGACATATATAAGGCATTCTTTGTTTTTAATTAAAGAACTAAAACAAAAATAGGAGAAAATTTCAACTATAATTATTAAAATATGAAAAATTGCAAGCCTCATGGTTGAGTCAGTAGAAATAACTCAGTTCATTAACTGCAATACTATGTATCTTTTACAGATTTTGTGACGAATATCTCAGTAGCGCTGTTACATACATAAAAAAGAGGTGTTAGAATGCTATAGAAAGAATACTACCATCTACACCAAAAATAATATGCACTCACTGTTAGGAATGGCTACTTGTTTGGGTGAAATTTTGCTTTTCATTGCATACTTTTTCAAAAGCTGAAATTTGTGTATGTGATGTATTAAAAATAAAACTTAAAAATGATCAAAAAGTAGAAATAACTAGTTATCAAGCAGCAAATTGTAACTTTTTTTGCAGATAATTTCAAAAGTGGCATTTCATTACAAGAAAGAGAAAATTCAAATATAAATGATAAATTAGTTCTTGGACTGCTTGATAGCTGACTTAATGAAGAAGAATGAATCAAACTAACACATTGAAAATTTAAAAAATTTTCCCAATTATTCATAAAACTCTGACATAGCTGATAATGATCTAAAGACTCATGTAATGATACTATAGCAAGGACCTCGAAGACAAACTGTTTTGAAACAGTTAAAGTCATGAGTATACAAAATCACTCACCACACACAAAAAACAAAAAAATGTCCTGTATGAAAATCTTATGACTTATATGACAGACATATATTAGAGACAGCTCCAAATTTGACAACTTTAACAATTTATATGACATTATCAAACTTGTAAACTATTAATAATTTTTTAAAATGAACAAGCGTAGAAAAAAGAGAATTATATTGATAATTTTTCCATAAAAATACTATAGCTCAGTGTCACTTTAAAAGGCAAACAATATGAGCCAAAGGCGTAAGAAAAATTCTAGAATTTTGCTGGGTAGTTGATAATACATTATGACTTCAAATATTTTATATTTTTAATATGTGCCAACTTTAAATTGTAAATTGTAGTCATTCTTTTCACATTGTTAATATTCACATCATTTATAGTATATTAGTAGTACGTTTTTGCTTTTAAGTAGGACAACCTAAATCAGCTTCACCCTCTCCTCCAAAGCTGTATCTGCTCTGTAAAGGAAGAGTGGAAAGAATAGAACCATGCACAAAACCAGCCTCTGTAGATACAAAGAAATTGATATCTTAAAGACAGGACAGATTTAAAGCTGCCTTAATATAGACTGTAATTACGACTTTTATTAAATTGACTTTTATTTGCTGACTCCAAAATCACTGGTGTAAGAATTTAATAAATGAACGTTGTCAAATACGCTTATAGATATATAGACTTTATGGTGGAGGGGAAAAAAGCATTTAAGAACAGAAGAGCAGGGCCTCCCTGGTGGCCTAGGGGTTAAGTCTCAGCACTATACGGCCTGAGTTTAATGCCAGACCAGGGAGCTAACCCACATATGGTGCAGCAGATCCCTCCTGTCTCGCCTGCTGCTCCCTTTAACAGAGTATTTCAGTAAATCAGCCTGTTCTGCTTCCTACTCTGTCTCTGATGAATCATATCATACCCCATCCCCGCACCTCTAGCTTATACCCCAGTTCTTCTTTGCAAAGATTTAAAAAAAAAAAAAAGAAAAGAAAAGCAGAGGAAGGCCTGGCTCAGAAGATTGCACAATATTCTCTCTCAACCTTCTCTTTTTTATTAGCATAGAAAAAAGAGCAAAGTTGGTCAAGCAAAGTTCTTTTCCATATTCTATTCTAGATCCAAAGGTTATTCTCTCAATTCTTCATCTGGACCAAAAATCTCTAGTTTTACATTTCGTTTTTTATCTAATAGCATTCTGACTAAGTCTCCCAAAGTTTCATCCTATGGATTTAAGTTTTCAATCAAGACGTTTTTAAGACTTGAAATATGACTGAGCAACAACTCTCTCCTTTTATCTCCCCACTCATAGCCTTATTTCCTCACCCACACACACACCATTCACTTTGTTCTTCTAGAAACCTATCAAAGATAGTGTTTACTAGAACACAATGATGCCGAGTCACACTAAAAACAGAACAAAAACAGAACATAGAAACAAACCGGATTCCGAACTACAGGTTCCTCATCCTAATTTAACCTTAGAATTAAGAAGATAAGTTTCCCTCAATTTCTCTAGTGTAGAATCAGATTCCTTTAATTTTCCCCTTTTCATGATTATCTTCCATTAGTTAGATGGACTTTTCCTCAAATGTGGGCTTTTATTGAAAATATTATTTCTACTTCTATTGCTGAGATGAGAAATACAGTCCTATCCAGATTGGTGTGATTTGTTCTACGGTTTGAAACAACTCTCAGTTCCCAAACCTCCTAGATAAATAGGACTAGACTCCTGAAATCACCTGTCTTTTATTTCCACAGTCATTTTTTCACTCCACCTAATAGTAATTCTTTTGATAGAGTCTGCAAGGCTATAGTTTTTCATGAGCAGAAATATCTAGCAAAATGCAGGAAGGAGTGAGATTATAGGTTATTTACATATGTGTGGTTTATAGAGGTTTCCTCACAGAGTCTGTGTTCTGTGTATATTTAGAAGAGATGCAGAAATTAAAATGTAATTGACCCGGTGAGAAAAAACTTCAAAAGAGAAAGGTCTAAGTGATGAGCCTAGAACATGACCAGTGAAAATGGTCATTGACATCATGTCAATAAACAATCAGTCTGTCAAGTTCTGACTCATGTTCCCTTTCAGAGTTTAACCTTTATTTTGGTCTCATGTTGAAAATGAAAAGTTCCAAAAATTGTTCTTAAAAGCAAAGTTAATCAGAGCCTCCCCTGGTGGTGCAGCAGTTGAGCACTGGGCTGCAAAGCTGCCCGCAGCCTTTGCAGCACTGGTTCGATCCCTGGCCGCCAGCGAGGGTCCAACATGGTGCGACAGACCTCTCCTGCCGCCCGCTGCTCCCCTCAGCAGTGTGTTTCGTCAGTCTGCCTGTTCTGTTTCCTGCTCTAGCTCTGGTGAATTCTCTCACCCTCCCGCACTTCTGACTGTACCCAGTGCTTGTATAAATAAATAAATAATTTTTTTAAAAAACACCAAAGTTAATCAATACGATTTCAGGGTTTTTTAAAATCCAGAAGTAACTAGTACTTAGGGCCAATATGATGAATCGATAGCATCATCATCAATTTTGTTGATCTACCTCTTCACTACCAGCCAGTTGTAAAGTTTGGTTCTCCTCTTTGAGGATGCAGACTTTACTCACTTAGTGTTCTAAACTCCCTCCTGAGTGCCCATGTCTACTCTAAGGCTCTGTTCTCTATTCAATCTTTACTCTACTTAGGCAACCTCTTCTATATCCAAACATAGGAATGGTAAGTCTGCTAACTATTCTGCTTCTACATATTTCTCAATATCCAATGATTTTTCTTCTACACGCTGCCTGTATTCTAGACTATTCTGCCATTGTTCCTCTATGAATTACAGCAATAGTTTTCTGACTAGTCTCACCATGAATACTCTTGTTCTAATCTCCCATCTAATCTCTAACCGTAGCCACAGTGGTCTTTCAAGAAGGCAAATCTGATTTCGCACCATTCTTTATTGGTTTCCTATTGCTACACCTTGCTCTGGCATACCTCTGCATCCTATCTATTTTTCCGACATCCTATGTGCTTCTTAAGCCTCACCTTGCTCCATACTACTGCTTACTTCATAGTTGTTCTACTTTCCTTACTTTTCCCTTAATTATACCATGCTCTATTTTTCACTCAGGACCTTTGCACATGCCAATAAAAATTAAAGTTCTTCTAAATAAAAATTAAAGTTCTTCTACAATTTATTAGTACAATCTACTGTCTCAAATACTGTTACAGATAAAATATACTTGCTCTGATGCCAAGGTCAGTCCTCCTCTTGGAGGACTGTACAAACATCACTGTTATCTACCCAAAGATATTGTCCAGCAACTTTCCACACTATCATGATTTTTCCCTTCTCTACTATTTTATTCTTACTATGGCCTGAATGTTGGACAGCCCCCTCCCCATTTCATATGTTGAAATACTAACCATCAAGAGATGGTATTACAAAGTTGAGATACACTTTGATCATTACAGTAGAACTCTCACAAATAGAATTGGCAGTCTTAAAAAGGAGACCCCAGACAGCTCCTCAGTCCCTTCCACAATATGAAGACAAAGCAAACAGTACTGGCTACAAACCAAGAAGTGGGTCCTCACCAGAATGCAATAATATTGGTGCTTTGATCTTGAACTTTCCAGCCTCTAGAACTGTGAGAAATAAATTTCTGTTATTACCCAGTCTGTAGTATTTTGTTATAGCAATCCAAATGGACTATGACAATTCCCATCAGTATACAGATATGCTCTTAATTCTCAATTTAACAAAAAAATAAAAAGCTTGGCTCCACATTGTCCTTCAGTTCTGCCCCATTGCTCTTCACCCCATGGGGAGTAACTCTATCAGCGTGACTAGCTCCCTCAAGTCCTCTAAATCTTGACTCAAAGTCATATTCTCATCGAGATTTTCCTGACCTCTCTATTAGAATCGTTCCAGATTATTATATATCTTTCCTTACTTCCTTCCCCCACCCAAATATAAGAACCATGAGAACAGGGATATTTGTCTTGTTTACTCTTTTGTCCTAGTGTCCATCCTCATGAAAGCAGCCTCTTTATGCTTTTGATTGTCTGGTATCACCCCTGCCTCAGAGAGGGCACTTGGCAATATTTGGTGAATGAAGGAATGAGTGCATGAGCACTGCAACAGCTTTATCTCTCCTTAGCTTTCTCCTGCCATAGGAAACAGATGATTATGGTTTCTTTACACTTGAAAAGTCAAAATTTCCCCATAAGTTTTCCAGTCAGTAATTGCTTACAGTCTAAGTCAGAAGTCAGCAAATTTTTTCTCTAAAGGGTCAAATAATAAACATTTCAGGCTCAGCAGGCCAAATGGTCTCCATCTCAACTAGGCAACCCTAAAGTAGTATTCTAAGTGCATTCTAAGAAAACTTCATTTCCAAACAGGAGGCAGGCAGCATTTGGCCTGCAGGCTTTAGTGTGCCAACCACTGGTCTAATTTGTTTTTCTGAATCTTAAGTCATCTTATAAGCAACAGTACATGAAAAACCAAAAAGAAGAAAAAAGTAAAACCAAAATTCCTGGTCCAGCTTTTCCCTGTGCATATGTGCAGATTTAGCCTTATCCATAGTCTCACAGGCTCTTTGACCCTTCATAAATAAGCATCTCCTTCTACCCCCACCTCTCCACTGAATCCTCAGGTCACTACCAGTTCACAACATTAAATTATCTACAAGAACATTTAGCATCAATAGTAAAGATAAAGAACGGAGAAAGGGAGTTTCTATTTAGGACATCACATGATGGCCCTAATATTCCCCAAATGGCATTAGTGTCCTATGATCCCTCCAAGGAAAGTACATTAGAACTTTTCTTCTTCTGGAGCATTATTAGAAAAATAAACAGTAGGAGTAAAAGAAATTGCAGATATTTACAATTTCTTTTCAGAGGTGTTTACTAAAACTCATATTTTTTTTAATTTTGTAGATGATCTATTTCTCTCTCAGGTGTATAGGGTTATGTCACTCAAATAATCTTTTGTTTGCTCTTGCTTACAAAATGCTGCTATAGGGATAATTTAAATGCAAATTAGAAGTCATCCAAACACAACTTTATTTTGTTTTTGTGATATGAGGCTAACAGAAGTAGTCAGTCATTTTCCAGGATAAAAAGTCTCTTAAGAGAAATGATACCGATGTTTCCTCTCATGCCAATTTCATTTTTTCAAATGTCATCTGATTTTTTTCTCATCAATTAATAGACTCTAATAAGGTATAGTACAAAATCATTTTTCTTAAAATAACAGTTATCAAATTATTAAGGCAATATTACATGCCAGTTTAATAGTAGATCTTGATGTTAGATAACAGCATATATTCTTTTGAAGGACAGGGGTTTTAATTCATGGTGCTAATTTTTTTATTACCCAATATTATTTCTCTTTCCCCCCACCACTATCCCTTACACTCTTTTAACCATTTCTCCCATCCTCCTCCCTTTTAACCTCAGAAACCTCACTTCCTTTACTCCTGGGTCCAATATTGTCAATAAATATTTTGCTTTGTAGACATCAATTGGTTTGTTGGGATTTTTTTTTTTTTGGTCATTCTTAATTACCTTAATCACATAATTCCTTCAAACTCCTTCCATTTTGCAATAAATGACAATATTTCATCTTTCCTTTTGGCTGACTAGTACCCTATTTTGTGGATATACGACATCTTCATCCACTCTTCTGTCAGTGGCACTTAGGCTATTTCCATTTCCTACCTATTGTAAATAATGCTGCAATAAACACTGTAGAGCAGAGTTTTTTGAGCTGATGGTTTCATATTCTTTGACTTGAGGCCCAAGAGTGGGATTGTTAGATCATATGGTATTTCCATTTTTCATCTAGATTGCTTTCCAACATGGCTTTCTCCTGTTTACATTTCCATTAATGGTTCTAATTTTTAACAATGAAATATAAATGACATTAAGTGCCATCATTAAAGCAGATTTCCACTGTGTTTAAGACATTCTAGAGTAGACTGCATTAACTCTTTCAGAACAACAAGTGTGAGACAATCTAGCAGGGAATTACAATTTACTAATTAGCAAATAAGGTGACCATGGGTATAGAATTTTGACGGAGAGTCAACCTGGATTTTCCTCAGGATATCAAATGTTTTGGGTTCCGCAGGCACCTCCATTCTTTTTCATACCAGATAAGGGTTACTTTGGCAAAATCATCTTCATCTTATGTCTACTCTCTCTAGGCCTCAAATTTTTCATCCATAAAAAATGAAGATCATAACAGTACCTACCCTAGGATTGTTCTGAGTATCTAACAAGAAAGAAACATAATCTATGTTTCACATAGTGTCTGGCACATGGTAATGCATTGTTTTTCATCCTTTACCTTTATTTTTTATTTATTTTTTGTGGGACCCTCGCCAGCAGCTGGGAAACAAACCTGCGCTGCAGAGGCTGCTGGCAGCCTCGCAGCCCAGCGCTCCACCGCTGCGCCACCAGGGGAGGCCCCATCCTTCACCTTTAATAAAAAGATTTTGAGATGTAAGATAAAACACACCAGAAAAAGAGTTCTATGTTCATAAATGAGAAAAAAGAAGAAAATCACTGTCTTGTATTCATAATACATTGTTTCCTTAACATTATTATTGTTAAAGCCAGAACCTATTTCTAAACTATTCTAAACACATTTTTTGTTAAGGGAACCATATTTTTTCTCAGTCTGAAGAAACAGTACTATAGAAACAACTAATATTCTGAAGAATTTGGGACATCCAAATATTCATTCATTTCTCCTCACTACTCCACATTAACATTGGAACAAGCCTTTAAATTAATTGAAATGATGTCCATCTCATGAAGAATGGCCTTATCAGATTCTTATTTAACTAAAACAGACTCTTTGAAGACTAGCTGTTTTCCTGGGACAGAAGATGGGAGAAAACAAATTATGAAGCACAGAACTAAAACTGAGATGGAAAAGTATGGATAAAACTAAGATAGTGTATGAAGATAAAAAGAAGTTACTAGAAAGAGAAAAAAAGTGCATTCAAGGGTTACTGATAATGGGCATCATGCCTCTCTGCCAGGAGGTGACTTTGTCTGCAGACTGATGATAAGGTTTGGGGAATGATCTGTCTCTGAAAAACTTCAGAAGCAAATCATACACAGGGGCACACATATGTGTGTTCATGCATGCAGACACACACACACACTACAATAAAGGTAAGTGAGTTACAAAGGACAAGGACACCTATAACAAGACTGGAGAGAGAGAGGAGGAAACGGTACTTATAGCAGAAGAATATTGTCCAGAAGGAAAAAGCATGCAATGTGTAATTTCATGCACTTAATTAATTGCAGTTCAAACCACTCTCATTAGGAGTCCATTTTAAGACTACCAGCTTGAACAGTCAAAAGGGAATAATTACAATGAAATTCTGTCCTTGTCTCCTTATGGAGAACTTCACAAACTTTATCAAGGACATCTCAAGAGACTCTTTGCTCCAACACCCTCCTTTTTGTTACCCTTTTATGCAAAAAGAATGCACTGAAATAAAAACTCAAATTTTCCCTTTGGTCCTCCCACTAACTTTTACTACTGATTTTACATTTATAGTTCTGGGGAAGTCAGAGAACTTTCTGTACTTTGGTTTCCAGATTGTAAACCCTCATGACAAATTCATTAAGGACTGTGAACTTGTCAGGGTTCTGGGTTACAATAGAATCAACAGAAATCAACAATGATGAACTTAAGCAGGAAAAGGAATTCACCCAAAGAAATAGTATAGAATTGGACACAGAGTTAGGAAAACCAGATTTGAGTAGGATGCAGTGGAGGCAATGACTAACCAGGAGGGAGATGCAGGATGAATCTGCCTGGCCCCTGCCACTCTCCTGCAGGGCACTAGCGGCCCCATCACACAGAAGCAGCCACAACCACCATACCACTGAAATATCTGCTCATCAGTGCCACCTGTGATGGTAGGTCTGAGTCATGCTCTCGAGATTCAAAGTCCTGGCTGGGAGCATCAGCTTGACCACACAGAGGTCTAACAGGTGTGAAAGGGTGTATCGGCCCAAGGTGAAAACCTGGACCATCTCCCCTACTCTAAGATTCCTCCAAAAGTGTTAGATACTGACCAGTCAAACCAGTCATGCACTTCAGGAGCTCATCTTCCCTGAGTTCTCCTCTTCCGTCTGACTATCCCCAGGGTTATATCCCCAAGCAAAACAATGATGGTAATATAAGCTTTAAATAAAAAAAAAGGAAGAGGGTATGGAGCACTTGTTTTACTGCAATATCTGCTAAATGAATATCAAACCTATCATCTTAGTCCATTCAGGCTGCTGCCACAACAGAATACCAAAAACTGGGTGGCTTGTAAACAGCAGACATTTATTGCTCAGTTTTATAATCTGAGAAGTACAAGATCAAGGTGCTGGCAAATTCAGTGTCTGGTGAAGGCCCTCTATCTGATTAATGGTCTTCTTACTGTATCCTCACATGATAGAAGAGTCAAAAAGTCTCACTGAGGGCTCATTTATAAGGGCACTAATCCTATTCACAACAGGCCTCCACTCTTATGACCCAACCACCTCCCAATGGTCCCCCTTACTTCCTAAAGCCAACCCCTTAAATATTAGGATTTCAATATATAATTTTGAAGGGAACACAG